ATTCACGGGACTTTACAGCGCTGCGGTGGTATATGCCCTACAACAGCCGAAGTTTTAATTCGTACAACCGACAGCTGGTGTAAGGATCAAAGATGTCGCGTTAAAGCCATGAAAACTTATGGCTGGATTTGCCATTGGTGTGGCTTTCGTATTGCCCCAAATACCAATACATGCACTTGTACCCATTATCACTGTTCTGAATGTGAATTATGTTAGGCATGGTAAGTTCTCTTTGTGGTCTAAGCTCTGAACACAATTAACAAAATACTAGTAGTCTAGGTGGAATGGTAACATTGATGTCAATTGTAAGTTTCTTCTGTATTCCATATATGAGATGACTAACCATTGTTAGTATAGGGCGGATATCTTTTTGTTTCTGTTTTTTTGTGGTCAAAAGTAGAAGTTGTTAAGTATCCTAGGATATAGCACAATGGTATCAGAAGTATGCATTTAAGGGATCTTAGGCTCAATGATTCACCACAAATCGTAGGAGAACCCTTGGGAAGATTTCTTTGAGTATATAGGAACAAGCGGATCGCAATTGAACTTTTCACTTCTTGTGACTAGCTGTTTGACATCTAGTATCAACCCATTTCCATAACGTGACCTTAAAAGGCAAACTTGACGACATGATACATGAACTCTACTCATTTAGAACTTAAAACTCAAGAGGAAACAGAGCAAAGAGGAGCTAGTCGCATACAATCAAGACCCTTAAAGGAATGTGAGAATAAAGGCTCGGCCAGAACTTGAATGGCATGTAGGGAGCCACATCTTCGCAGCACATGACCCGGTCTACCCCATTAGTCGATATCGATAGGATAGACATATCGACGAATGAGGTAGACCAGATGCTATATCGTCTTTACAGCTGGTAAAGGCGTGTATGAGAGCTCGGATGTCAAGGAACCGTCTGATTTGCGGCTCACTTCCATTCTTGTCCATTTCTTGTCTAGAAAATCGGGTAGTTGGGATATGAGTAGGTGCGAACGACACATCGTGTCTTCATCAAAAACATCGGTTGCCATTGTCACATAGTGAACTCTTTGTCCAGCCTGTATGCGATAAGATCCAAAGTTGTCGTTAATTCCTTGCGATAGTACCTCGATTTCCGACTTGGGGACAGTACGAGATTCTTGCTTGCTCGGTCTGAGAATCTAGCGAAAGGATGGTAAGAGGATGTACTCGTACTCGTAGAATCATCGAATGTGATCTACTCATAAGATGGCGCAGTAACATGGGTACCGTAAATCGTAGTGTGTAAATGACGCTGTCTGATCAAATCGGTAAAGCAATTGTTGATTGTAGAGGCCTAGAGGGAATAATTGTTGGCGTTGCAGTATTGTAATAATTGGTTAGGTCCTGAACCAGCGTTAAGATAATTGTTGGTGTTGCAGGATTGCAATCTCAAGAAGTATAAAGCTTGCGTTGTCCTACTGTTGCAGAGTTGTCTTGTTGAATCAAAGCTTTCATTATCCATCCTGTAGCCCTCAAGACTTTAGGTAAATAACCGTCCCAGAATACCTATCATATCAAATTAGAATTCTACCAACACTGCCTATCAGTGCCCTCAGCATCAAATGCTTTCCATAGTGACATTTGCTTCTCTGCTTCTCGGTTAATACCCAAATATACCACACTTGTCTGTAATATTACTGACCTGAGAGATAGATCGGCAACTATCAGCCATTTCTCCGGACAAGTACCTACGACAGCCATGCACCCAAGTTTATCACAAATATCAGTGTGGGTGCAGGACGAAAGGCGAATTCAAGCAGTGTGATGCAAAGTACAACGCCCAGACGAACGTGCAATGCGATCTCACGATAGCGATGAAATCGTTTCCAGAAACTACTGCTCCAAGCAGATGCCGAAGGAGGGCAAGGCTACAACACAATACGTTGGGTGTCATCCCAACCGCTGAAGGCTTGGTTTACTATTTTATTCGTATCTAGTCGATCGTTTCCAGTCTAAGTTTTATGAATTTGCATGGGTATATCGGGGTCCTGTATTGCTTTCATCACTCGTTTTCAATCATGTATTTGGAGGGATATATTAGCATATTAGGGTCCTGTATTGTTTTCAGTCATTCATTTAGTTATTAATAAATGGCACAAAGAAAGTTTTCATTGGGTATATCGGGGTCCTGTGTTGGGCATGGACGGGGGCAGGTTAGTGGGACTGTGGGGGTGAACATGGAGATGATGATGAATGTACTCGTTTTCAATCATGTATTTGGAGGGACATATTAGGTTCCTGTATTGTTTTCAGTCATTCGTTTAGTTATTAATAAATGGCACAAAGGAAAGTTTTTATTAATTAGAATATGGTACGCGTACATCACAAAAAATCCTTGCTTGCTTGAACACTAGGTTCCAGTCCTCGAAGCAAATCCTTTGCACCCTTGCAAACTCTTATATGTTCGACGAATGCAGCAGATGATCTTGCCCGACGCTCTAAACCAAGTAAAGGAAATAACGGATCGGCGCCCGAAACGAGTAACCGAGTTTCTGCATCTAGAATTCTGGTTCTATGATAGTTCAAAAAGTTGGCTCGACATCCCAAACACCAGACGCCTTTTTCCAAGACATCGTTCGGCTGCAAGGCTGGAAATCCAGTAGATGCCATACCACAGAAACGGTCAGCTGGGACGTTGGCATCGGATCCTGTTGTGGAGGGATGGCCAGTAAGCCATCGTACATCGTGCATCTCGTTTGTTGTGAGTTTTCCAGCATTCTGTGATGTAACGAAACCCTCCATTGCTTCTGCTGATCCGTGTTTAGCAACACCTAGCGCCTTCGACTGCTTCAAATTAAAAAGTCTTGTTCGCCTCCGGTATGTGATTGTATGACCAACTGAATAGGTTCCTGGAATGCTGAGCATAGATGGTATTCGGCGAAGGTCTTTTGGCATAAGTCCGAAGCATTTTCTAGCCATTCCGCTTGTTATAACACGAAGCGATCGGTCTCTATGGAGGCATTCATAACAGCACCTCTCGGAGGTTGGAAGAAATAGGAAAGGTGCAAATTGCTCGCAGGCTACACATTTCTCGGAGAGCAATGCTGTATAAATGGAAGCAGCGGAGTGGAAAGTGATCAGTCCCGTCCGGCCAAAAGCGGCCAAAGCTGTAAAGGCGTGCTTGATCAAGTCTTGATATGCTGGCAGTGATTCAACGGTCGCTTTTCCTTGGTGACAAACGCGTGCAAAGCGTGATAGGCTCCGGAAGTCGAGCAAATTGAGGACGATATGTAGAAGCTCAAGGGGTAAGGTGTCGAGTAGACCGATATTAGAAGAGCTAGGTATCCTTTGAACAAAAGCTGGTTGTATGGCATCGCGAATAGCCACCATCGAGTTCAGGATGTAGCGTGGGCGCCAGCTGACACGCTCGATGAGAACATACAAGGTATAGTCATCGAGATCCATCGCTTTATCTGCAAATGCATAAGAGACTTGTTGATATTTTAGTCAGGCTATATTTACTTATGATTAAATGAAACTGTGTGGAGGACAATTCTTTCTATTCTTGTGCAAGCGCGACAAAGGTTTTCTAATTGTAAAGCCCAGGCAGTTTCTGTTTCGCGTCACGAAATCGCGAAGACAAGGAACACACCAAGAACCAACCAGACGAGAAACGAAGCGTTAAGACGTCGACGATGATTCGCGGAAGGGTTGTTGGAAACTCGAGAGAGCCGCCTGAGAGGAGGTAATCACGATTTCACGATTCACGATTCACGAAACACGAAACACGAAACACGAAACGCGAAGGCCGCGCTACGGCCTCGCCTGGCCGGGTCTATTCCAGATTAGGCAAGCCTGTCTCTCAGCCGGCGTCACTTCAAAGTGCTGCCTTTTCAATATCACAAAACTTATAGATATATATTATATATTAAAGTAGAAATTATTATCTAATAGAAGTATAATAACTTAATAATAATATAATTTATATTAGCTTTATTATATTTCTAATACTATAATCTAGATTATAATCTATTCTTTTAAATATCTATAATTACCGCTAGAGTTGTCTATAATTATAGATATTTCTTAAATAAAGAAATCTTATTAATTAGAATCGAGTTTTTTTTTAAGAC